TGGTATAAACTCACAGCTGTGTGACTGTGAATAAATTACTTAACCTCTCCGAACTCCCGTTTCCTTACATATACAACAGAGGTGATACTCCCCATAGGATGACAAGGATGTGATGATCACTGGTGGCATGTAGTGCACCTCGGTGGTGTTGCTATAGACACAGCACAGGCCTGGCTGAGACTGGGGATGCTGGATTGGGCATGCTCTGTGCCCTCCAGCTTTCACCTTCGCACTGACTAAGCCAGTGTTTTGGGGGGAGCGTCTTGCAGCCCTCACCCACATTTCTGCTATGCAGACTAGCAGCTCAGCCCTTCAGGATTTCAAAAGCCTGGAGACACCAGGGAATCATCGTGCTGTCACATCAATGAATTCTACGAATATTGATTTTTAGAAAACCTGTCTCCTTTGCCCGCTCCAAATTGGCCAAGTGGCCCAGGGCTTCCTCCCTCTCTCCATCTTCACCCCTCCCTCTCAGAGACACCCCCCACACACAAAGATTCCTCTGGTATTCTCATGCAGATCACTCCCTCCCTTCAGCCAGCCCTCAAACTTGGGTCTAGGTCTCTGCATTTCTAAGGATTTGGCTGGTGCTTGAATTAGGGTTTAGAGACCAAGGCCCAGTGGGTCTTGAGATGAGCAGGGATAGTTTGGTTCTTCCAGAATCACTGGTATAACAAACCCATTTACATTTTCAATTTAAGAGTGGCCCATGCCAAGAAAAAATATTCAAAGATTTAATGTGTTAACTGGAAGAAGAGATATTCAACAAATGCAAAAAAAAAAAAAGTATCTAGAATTTTATGGGGAGCTCCTACAAAGTAATAATAAAAAGAAAAACAAGTAGATTAAAAACCAGGCACCAGGGCCCTAGCTGGGTTGGCTAAGTGGCTAGCGTCAGCCTGTGGACTTAAAGGTCCCGGGTTCAATTCTGGTCAAGGGCACATGCCCAGGTTGCAGGCTCAATCCCCAGTAGGAGGCAAGCAGGAGGCAGCCGATCAATGATGCTCTCTCATCATTGATGTTTCTCTCTCTCCCTCTGCCTCCCTCTCTGAAATCAATAAAAATATATTAAAACAACAACAAAACAGGCAACAGGTATGAGCATCATTTTGAACTTACCTAAGCCAGTCAGTCCAGCACAGCTCTCAGAGTCTCTGAGGTTTGGGAAGACAAACAGAATTGTTCTGCCCACAGGAGGGAGATTTGGGTGCAGGTGTAGCTCAGCCTGGCGGGTGAGTAGCTGGGAACATCACTGGCCCCTCGGTCACCCTGAGCCTCTGCCACTATCCAAGCCGACTGCACCTGGTGCCCTCTTCTGGGGCTGGGCTTTGTTCATGATTTTCTCATTCTCAAGGTGACCAGTGCCCTCTAGCAATGGAAGGTCTTATCATGAAGGTGTTGTGTGTGATTTGGGGGGTGGATAGCCGCCCCCCCCCCCAAGATGTTGCTGAGGATGGGGATGTAGAGCTGGAAAACTCATCGTAGGGCTTTGGACTGAATCACAAGGGCTGCCTTCATCTCAGAATGGATCCCCTGCCCAGGATGCTTATGGGGTCCAGAGGCCCCCAAAGACACAATGGGTGACGGGAGGGGCGATCTGGGCGGCAGGTGGTCACCTAGTTCCCTCTGACAGCTGGGACCTGGAGCCTCTGCCTTCTGGGTCTGACAGGCTTGTTGGCTGGGCCCTGCAAGCTGCAGGTAGACTCACCTGGACATGAAATAACAAAAGGAGATGGACTTCAGGGGCACCTGACCTTCCTCCTGCCTGGACCCTGATGGCCTCTTCGCCCACAGACTCATCCAGAATGTTTTTCAGGGTAAAAAACAAAACACATAGGAGTACAAAGGACACCAATTACAGTGAAATACAAGGATCAAACTTGTTTAGCAATGTATGCTACTAATATATGGGCTTCTTGGTTAAAGTCCTAATAGAATATGGATGTCAGTCGTTTGAAAATAGAATAATGGAAGCAGCATTTCAAGATGCCTGCCACAACTGAGCGCTACAAAGTCCCGTGAGGTTGCCGGCCACATGCTGGAAAAAAATGCTAGATTTCAGTGGGGTTAGTAAAGATAAAAATGGAATTCTTTCTCTGTTCTAGTTTATAGACCCATTTGAGCCTGTCCACAGTCACTTTGGGGGTCCGTGGACCCAGGTCGAGGCCCTGGCACAAAGGAACAGGAAATTGCAGCCCTCACTCGGGGAGCCATACAGCATGAGGGTTTCACTGTGAGTCTGCCCAGCACCCGGCTCATTCCGCAGGAAAAGGGGCATGTGGGCACACCACAGGCCTCAGGGTCCACAGGTCAAGACAGGCCAGCTGGTTAAGAAGTCCCCTTCCCCCACATCCCTGGCCTTCCCACAAACGGCACCCGCTGTGAGGGGAGTCCAGGACAGACCGAGCTCCCCAGGAGTTGGGGAAAGCACCCTCCTCCCTGACCTCTTAGTCTAGTCCAGTGATGGCGAACCTATGACACACGTGTCAGAGGTGACACGCAAACTCATTTTTTTGGGTTGATTTTTCTTTGTTAAA